TTTTTTGTGGGGAGGAGGTTATTTTTTGCATATTTCTAGTTGAAGGAGAAATGACCAAAAAAAACCAAAATTCCTCCCTGAGACCTTCTGGGAAGGAGAGCCCAAAGGCATTGCTTGCCCCTGCTGCTGAAATACAGGATCGAGGTGGGTTTGGGAGAGCTGTTGCAAGGGCCACAGACCCCAACCTGAGCCGGGTGCCACGAGCAGAGCCGGTAGGTCCCATAAGAGCCGAGTGCTCTGYGAGCCCCAGGCAGCTCTTGATCTACTGCGCTTTATCCCACTTGTTTGCAATTCTGCAGGCACGTGAGCTGCAGGCGCACAAATCCCTGGAATAACCTTGTGGCTGATGGTACGCAGGCTTAGCAGCAGCCAACCCCCCTGCTGAAGCCTCCAAACACAGCAATCTGGTTAAGAGAGGTTCTTAAGTAACATAATATTTTGTGGATATTTGTCAGTGTTTCCACTGCCAGCCTGTCGTCTTCCTAAAGGAACCAGTATTTGGCATCGTTTGTATCGGGAGAAAAAGAAGAAAACAAAAACACATTCTTAAATGTTTCCAAAGGGCTGTACAGGATGAAGGGAGGATGTGAGTTCAAAATCACTAGTAGTGCTGTAAAATGCTGGCCTGGAAGCCTCGGAAGYGAAAGGATTTAGCCGGCATATCCGTGGTGCGGCCCTGCCAACGGCRGAGCCGGGAGCAGCCGGAGCGGGCCTGCGGCTCAGGAAGAACCGAGCGTGAAGAAGGGGACAAGCCAGGGCTAATGCTAAACCAGGTGAGCTGATGTGGCTTTTGGAAAAACACCCCGTGCCCATTGGGAAACAGGCCCTTCTGGGCAGGAAAAACAGCCCTGAGCGAGCGACCACCCTGGCTTATCTGCATGGTCTTAAACAGCACAGAGCTGCTATGGAGCAGCKCTGCTTGAAGGAGAGGTGTGGGATTACGGCTCATCCTGTGGTAGGAAAGGAATCTTTTGGCRTTAATCCTGCACCTCTTTCTTTCTTTTTTCATGAAGAATGCTGCTGAAGAATGATTTTTTCATTTTCAAATACTGCCTGAGGTGAGCATAGCTGCTCTGACCAGCTGAACTGACCAGAAACAGAATTGAGTTTATGGTAGAAATATGACAATGTAAATTGAAATGTGARTAAGATAATAAATAAAATACAGTTATTCTGAGGTCCCAGTTTTGGTGTTCTTCCAGGGCTCCCCTGAGGGGCTAGGAGCTGGGAAGGACGCGGACACCATTCCCAACACAGCCCTTCCCGAGCTTCCGCCTCTGGCAGATGGAGCTGGTGGCTCTCGGAGTTCCTGCAGCTCCTGCTCCTCAGCCCTGCAGCCCTTCATCAGGTTACCCGAGCAGGASCATCACTGAGCAGCCTCCTTCATATTTAATTGGCTTCTGCCCTTGTTTTCTCCAGCTGACAGTGAAACAGGAGCCAGCCCCAGCACCCCAGTATTTTATTACGGGCCCTTTGAAAGCGAGCTGCCGGTCTGCRCTCGAGAGCGGCCGCACCGGCGGGTTTGGATGTTGCCACGGGCCCCGGTGGCATTAGCTAAGAGCAGCGTCGCTGATTTTAGCACATTTACATGTGGTACCTGCCCCTAAGGGCAGGGCCCAGGGCCCCCTTTGGCCACCCATGTGCACTTGGGTGACGGGCTGGCGCCCGCAGCGTGGCACAAGCCGGGGCTGCTCCTGGCCCAGCCGGGGCAGCGGCTCCCCACATGGCTGCCAAGAGTCCCCCATGGGAGGATTTCCTCTCCCGTTTTCRCAGCACCTGAGACGTGTGACGTGCAGTGGGCTGGGGCTTTGCCGCAGCAGGATGTGTGTGAAGGGCAGCGCAGCTCCATCCTGCCAGGGGCACAGGAGGAGTTAGGGATGGAGCAGCCATCAACATGGAGCACCAGTTAGGGATGTGGCGGCGGACACTGCACCGCGTACGGA